GAGAAAGGAGATCTTTCCTTTGCATGTTGTTCTCACAGTTTCCTTTACTAAGTATGTTATTTATCTGTATTTTAAAGTCACAGAGAGTTATCAAAGTCATGGGATGATTCAGTTTTTGCCCTCACAGTCACAGAGTAAAACATACCTAGTCGGAATGGATTATTCCTTTTGTGTAATATTCCAATAGATTCCAAAACATTATTTCAAAAGTGCTTATTTTTTCTCAAGTAAGATATCTGCTTCTAGGTCTCCATTTTTCTGTTCTTTTTTGCATGTTAATTCAGAGTTGCATATAAGGAGATACCACATTTCCCTCATTTTTTTAGATCTATATGTATTGGAAATTTGACTCCTGAAAATGGACTTGTCATTTGGGGGATGATGCTATCAACAGAGACATTTTTCAGCATCAGTGATGTAACAGTAAGCAACTGCTTGTTGGGACTGAATTGTGTGTTTGAATGCTCAAGCTTGAGGTATTATTAAAATCCTCTTTATAATTACTTACCTTTATCTGATAGATTTATCAATTTCTGAGAGTGACGTGTTAAAAAATAATATAGTATCTGTAGTATTTATGTTTTCCCTAAAAATGAGTTATTTTCTAATTGAGTCTTCTTTCTTCTATTCTCCCATGTGGTAACCATCTGGAATTTTGTGAGAATGTGTTTCAATGTCTTGTTTTAAAACTAATATAAATTAGACTCACTATTGTTTTTCTCTCCCTCATGACTCCTCTTATGTTTTTCTGCGTTCACATTTCTTCTTCCTGATGTACATTCCTTACTGGTTCTTTCACTGGAGGCCTGTGGGAGGTCAACCTAGAGTCTGTCCATATGTCAGAAAGTGTCTTTATCTCTTTCTTTGACAGGTAGTTTGTCTAAGTATTTAATTTAGGTTCTAAATATTTTTTCCTTCCTTGTCAAGTTATTTAATATTTCTGATCCTTCGTAGTCTTAGCTGTAAAACGGGAGTAAAGCCCTCAAGGACAGTGAGTGTCACTGAGGTAATGCACGCAGAGCTTGTGATCATGTTGCTCAGCAGATATTAAGCAGTCCATAATGACAGCTGTTATTATCATTATGTCTTCAGAGAGGGTGTTCTCAGAGAATGACTGGTTGAGACCGAGGAGCGGAAGTTCACACCAAAAAAAATGGAATGAGTGATTTTAATTCTTAGCCCTTGGGTATCTTATGCTGTGGTCATCTGCAAAACGTGTAGAGATAATGCATCTGTTCCCGCAGACCGCAGGCAGGACAGCGCAGTGGCCTCATGCCTGGGGGCTTCAGGCTACTCGTTGCCGAGCCTCTGCCGTAGCTGTCTAGGTGGACTCAGTGCAGAGAAAGATGGAAAAAGACTGCCTTGCTTTCCCTCAGATTTTCCCCTGAATTTCATTCATCTTTACATCCAAAGCAGACCCTATCTGTAGCCTTGGTATTCCTCTGGGACTCAGGCTTCCCTCTGCTATTCAGCATGGAGGTGAGGAAGCCTATGTCTGGAATTCAAGAGATTCCTTAGAGTGTTTCTTATATTCGCATGTCCTGTGATTAAAGTCAATGGCAAACGACACGAACCCAAGCCAGGTAGGACTGCCCGTGGCCCAGATCCTTCAGGAATGTAGGTTATGGTCCCCCCACCAGGCAAAGCCACAACCAGCCGAGGTGCTTGCTGAGGGCAAAGGGACTATGAAATGGGTAATGGAAGAAGGTGGTTATAAATACCAGCCACCAAGAGGGGACCAGCTGCAAAAACATGCATTTGATGGTTGTGAGTATTTCTACTTTATTCTGTTTTGAATAAGTTTGAGTGCATGATGTATTTGTGTGTGTGAATATATAAATATATATACTTTATATCAAAGTAAAATACAAAGACTGATGAAATAGAGTCTTGCTACAAATGTGGGCCTCTTCTTATTGACGATCAGTTGATTTTTGGCCATTGGAAGCCCAAAGATGCAATGAATTGTTCTCCTCTGCCATATGGTAGGCTCATGACTTATGAAACATTGCTACATATAGGGCCGGTTCTCAGGAGCCTCACAACCTTGTGGGAGAAACCCCTTGCACATGGTGCCTTCCTCCTGGCCCTGGACTCGTCCCGGGTCTTGGCACTTCTCTTTTTCTTTGGAGGCAAAGTACAGACTTCTCAGTCTTTCCTTTAGCAAATAACTTTCTTGGATGGCTGTGCTGTATCAGGAAGGGCCTGGGCTGCTGTGAACCAGCCTTTGTCCTCAGCTGCTGGCTGTAACGAGAAGGCCTCCCTGGCAGAGTCCAGCCTGCTGTGTGTCTGGGTGACTCTTGCAGCCGTCAGAAAGGAGGGGATAACTCAGAAGTGTTAAGCAATTCATGTGGCCCTTGTCTTACAGGGTGTTTCCAGGGGGTGGTGTTCAAAATGCCGGGCAGTAACCCTTCAGCTCCTGGTCACGGGGTGCATTCCTGGGGTGAGCTCAGAGCAGTGTCTGTTCACCCCAGATGGGAAGGATGTCAGTATTTTACTTGGTAAGGCTGTGTCCATGCACGTCCATGGTTCATCAGTTTGGTGGCATCCCCTGCTGGACCGCTCACCCACACCCCTGTCATGCCTCATCTTTCTTTCAAGGCTCCCAACAGGAAAGGTTCACACCCTCATGACATAACCACAGCACAAGACTAGAGAAAAGAACACAGCCATCCTGGGAGCTACATGCTTTATGGGCTTGGGCCCAGCTGCCACTTTAGGACGGGTTGGTAACAACACGACTGAGTATGCAAACTGGTGATTGTCTGAGACCACAGACCTCAGAACCGCACAGGCCCAGATGTCACCATGGGCAGCAAGGGGGAGTGGGGGTCATTCACTGGCCAGGATTATGGTTCATTATCCAGGAAAACCAGGGCTCACCCGTGATCCATCAGGCCCAGGCAGGTAAGAGTGGTCATGCTGTACCTGACAGAGAGGCTGGAGGCATCTAGAGAATTTCTGCCCTAAAAAGAATGGTATAAGGAAGTGCAGGGGTGCTGGAAATTCTAGTTCACAGGGAGCGGTGATGCTTATGGAACGAAACCCAGGTGTAGCCTTAAAAGCTGCATCACACATCTTTCCTCCTGGATACAGAACATGCAGGAAAAGGAATTTGGAGTCATGATCCCACAGGATCCCAGGAGGATTCCAATCTAGGTCAAGGGTGAACTTGGAGCCCCTAGCGGGGGCCTGGGGAGGCACAGTCTGCCTGCCCTTAGTCCATCTGCACAGGACCTTCCTCTGGCATTGTCCTCACCACCTACACGTTTTGAGCTTTTCACATTGTTTTCTGCACGTAGTGCTGCTGCAATCCAGAGACAGATTAGAAAACTACAAGGTCCTATCATTCGGGGAAAAGAAACCTCAACAAGAGAAGCAGAAAATGTTTCCAATCCTCCAAAGCCGTAGAAAAGCAGTCAATCTCCTGGTGCAGGACGTGGTCCTGGCTGGGGCTATGTTAAAGACACCCACATTTCAGTGGTTGTTGCTCTCCCTGTGAAAGTCCTTCCAACCTCTAAATCCCAGGAGTTCTCAGGGGCTGTCTCTGCTCCTGGCCCAGGTGAAGCACGCTGAAACGAGCCTGTCCTCTGAGGAAGGCAGACTTGGGGGTGTCCTGCAGCAGCCGGAGAGGGGGCTGGCCCTTCTCCCTTCTCTCACACATGATAAGCTGTGACTCTGCAAGATTTCTTGATTCGAGGAGGAATGTGAGACTCTGTGTCTCATTTCCATGAGCACAAGAAGTGAAAGAGCCACACCACCACTCCCAGGCCGCGACAGAAACAGGACTTTAATATCATATCCAAAACTAGCATTAACTATTAACAACAAATAAATATGGCCCCTTCCCAACTGGCAAATATGCAGTGGGGTAGAGATGTCAGGGATTTGGGGTGGGGTTGTCCCCTCCCTCTTGGGCTTCAGGGGCCCCAGGAAAAGGCTTACAATATTCTCCTTCCCATCAGGGTGAGAGGATCTGGCCTGGTGCACCCCGAGTGTCCCTGCTGTGTCCCTGCTGCTGAAGAGGAGGCTGCACTCGAGCTGCATGTTCTGTGTCGGAGGCCTGGTGACTGAAAAGACTGATGATGGGGGGCCTCTCCAGTGTCACAGCCCAACTCCCCACCCCACTGCACTCTGTGCACCAAACCTCGTACTGAGGACTCAATAAACAGCACCCCATGTGTCCCTGATATGGGAGCTGTCATTTAGCATCACCCATTTCACAGAGGAGGAAACCAAGTCCCAGAAAGAAAGGGGAGGGGACTCGGCCATCCCGGGACTGCTCAGCAGTGGAGCTGGGATCCCCGTGCCGGCTGCCCAACTACCCAGGCCCACGCTTAGCCCGAAGCTTTCCTGAGCCCCTGGGTTTAGTCACTGAGGGTCTGGACACTCATTCAGCCCTGAACTTGAGGATGGCCGGTTCTTCTTGGGTTTGAAAAATAGTGGCATCTTGCTGGCCCTCTGGTCTGGGGGCTCCAGTTGGCAGGACAGGCTGTAGCTATAGGACAGAGTGGACCTTTGAGCTACCAGGAGCCATACCTCAGTTGTCCCTCCCAGAGCCTGACAGGAGCTGGAGTCCCAGTGCCCCAGGGGTGACCATGCAACAAGCACTGGGACTGACCAGGGAGCCAAGGCCATAGGCTCTCTGGAACTGGCCATCAGAGAGCTTCCGCCTTGCCCTCACCCAACTGCTGCCCCACCTCACCTCTCATCCTCACTAAGGGGCTTCATGGCCTGGCACCAAATTGCTCCTCAGGCTCAATAGAAGATTGTAAAGATTTGCAGCCTCCTGCAGCAGCAAGATCTCCTCAGTTACTTTGAATTCCTGGAAGAAAGGACAGGAGGCAGACAGGGCCTGGGTGGGGGACGCTGCCAAGGATGTGTAGGGGTGAGAGGAGGGCCAGGAGCCCGTCTGGCTTCTTTGCTCACATGGGAACCCTCCTTCCCTCCAATTCCATTCAGGACTTGCTTGTTCTCACAGCTGGGTTGAAATAACTCCTCCTCCAGGAAGGTGTCCTTGATGCCAGCCCCTTCCCCCACCCACCATTGGGGTGGGTTTCCCAGCTGTATGTATCTAACTCTCCCAATAAATGTAAGACCCAAGGGATGGGGCCAGAGAAGGTCTTGCCCAGAGGGGTCTCTGATTTCCACACCCCTAACCCTCTACAGCTGCTCACCTCACTATTTTTCTAGTAGTTGATCTCATTCCCCTGGAAGGCAGAGAGCCAAAATCCATCAGAAACAACCCCTTTCCCCCATAACTAGCCTCCATCCCCACCCCTGCTCATGTTGCACTACTACCAGGGCCCACCAGGAGGCAGGCGCTTCCAAAACAGGACTTGGACCTGGGCCAGGCTCTGGGCTCCAGAGCAAGGGGGATGTGGGGCCCAGGCTCAGGGACATTGTAACCCAACCCTCTCTGATAGTAGACAGGGAGACTGAGGCGCAGGCAGGAAGGGATTGCTCAGCCCCTGATATGCTTCCTGACGTGGAGGGGTCCTCCTGCCCTCCCCTGGGGCAGGGCCTGAGGGAGAGGCTGAGTCCAGCGCAGACGCAGACGCAACCTCCCGCAGCTCTGCAGTCAGGCAGCTCTGAGCTTCACCAGCCCAGGGAACCTGGACGGGCGGTTATGTGGATCCTGTATTCACTCATCGCTAAGAAGGGCATGACCCCAGCTCCCAGCGGCGGCTGGGAGGCTCTCACGAGAGGAGGTCCGCCCAGTGTTGAGAGCTCAGGGCTCAGTAGGGGGTTTTCTCCTCCTAAATCTCAGGATCCTGAAGCCCCCCACCCCAGGCTCCCTCACCTCCAGATAATACTCCGTCCTAGTGTCCAGCAGCAGCAGGGAACTGAGAAATGTGCCAAGGAAGGGGATGCCACCCTGTGCCATCGGGGTGGAGATGGTGATGAGACCCCATGTTCAGGTGCCCCAAAGACCCCTTCTGTACCCCTCACCCCAGCCTCCTGCCCATCCCAAGGCACCCACCTAGGCAGCCTCCCCCCGATTCCCTCTTGTTCATCCCTCCAGGAACCCCAAACTTCCCCCAGTCACCTCCCAGGAGCCGGCTTTTGGTAAATCCAAGGGTGTGTGGTTCCTGGTCCCAAAACCATTCTGTGCCCAGCCCTTCTAGGCCTCCTCCTGGTCACTTCCAATGCAGGCACTTTAGGTTCGGTGGCCCCAGGAGCAAGGTTAGAGGAGAAAGGACCCTTCTCTCCTGGTAGAGACCTCCAGATGGGGGGGGGGGGTCCCGTCTCCTCTGGTTCCTGGACCCTCCTCCGCAGGCACCCTCACATTCTTGGCTCCCAGGGGGTACGTCTCCAGGGTGGTCAACACAGTGGTGGCCTCCTGCCAGGGTGTGGACAGGGTCAGGGAGGCCCCACTCCGCTCCACGTGTCCGCCCAGACCCCTGACCTTGGACCCTGGACATCTGGTGTCTATGGCTGCTCCCATTCTAGAGTGCTCTGATTCTAGTCAATCCCAGCTCCAACACTCACTCCTGCATGACCTCGGGCCTGCCCGGGTCTCCCTGAGCCTGGTTCCTCATCTGGAAAATTCGGGAAACTCCACTCCTCCCGCGGTGTCCCAATGACTCAGTGTCACCTGACTGTCATCACTGCTTTCTCCTCAACCCTCCACGTGGAGTTGGCACAAAGCTCCCCGCATTCCTGTCCTCCCTTGTACCTCATCACCCCCTGTGAGGCCTGCACCACAGACCATCTCCCTCCATTTCCCGGATGAGGAGACCGAGGCCCGCTGAGGGGCAGTGACTTGCTCAGGGGCCCACAGAGGAGAGGTGGCTCCCCCTCCCAGCCAGAGGCCCTGTCTATCCCGCCTTCACTCCAGTCCCCGCTCAGCCACTGACCAAAGTCCTGTCCTCTGCACTCTCGGGCTGTGTTCAAGTGCCAGCTAGGCTGAGCCCTGGATGGAGAGAGACGGGGTGTCTCAGGAGCCCTGGTCCAGCAGCTCCTGCCTGCCCCCCAAGAGTCTCTGATCCCAGGCTGGGCCCAAGGCCGTACCAAAGTCCTCACCTCCCTAGGATCCCCTCAGGACATTCCCCTGCCCAGAACTCTTCCTTTGTCCACTCAGGAAGGGGACACTGAGTGCCATGTCTGGCTAACAGAGTAGGGGTGACCAGAGCTCTGGGCACTGGGTCACTGACATTTGCTTCCTCTTTTACGTGGAAACTTCTAACGTCTGGGCAGGAAGGATCTGTTAAGAATCCATCAGTTCTCTGGATACTTCTCATTGCCATCTGGGGCACAGGTCATTGCCAATAAGAACTGGGTGAGAATCCCGCTGAGACTGTTGGCAGTGACCACTTTAGGGGCAGAGCGGGGAGTTGCAGAGAGCACACAGATCTGTCCCAGGTCCACCGTTCGTGCCAAGGCTGAGCAGCCTCTGTGTCCACCTGGCCCGTGGGATCCTGCATCCCCTGGTGCGGGCGGGGTGCCCTCCCCTGTGGGGTGCAGTGAAGACAGAAGTAGCAGTGGGGCCCTGACTTCCTGAGGACAGACTGCTGACTTAGGAAGAAAGGAACCCCCACCTGCTCCCTCCACCTAGTGGCCTGGAGGAAGATGAGTGCCAGCTGATGGACCCGCACGGAAGACAGAGACCCTCTCATTCTGCTAGCTCCTCACCCTCCTGGAACAGTCCAGCCAACACAACTCTATTCCATGACCAAACAGCCCCCACCTGCCCATGGAGCTAACACATCCCTCTTCCTGTCAATCTTTTTCTGAGAAACTTTATGTGAAAAACTAACCAAAGCCTGTCCTGCCGAGTCCCCCCGCCCATCTTGCTTCCCCTCCTTTCAGATCTCCAGCCTCCCTGTTACCTTCACCAGCAGCCTCCTGCTCACCCACTGGGGTTTGGCGCACCTCCTAAATTTTCAGGAGCTCCCCCTGAGGGGAAGAGAAAGAACGAAAGAAAACCTGTGTGGCAGTTTAAGGGTAAATCCCTTTTGTTGAGAACCCAGAAGATTCGAATGGCCTGGGGCCTGGATGAGCGTTCTCACTGGGTTCTTCTGAGCTCTGAGGTCTCCGTGGGACTGGGGAGGGGCTCTCTTGTTGTCCCCTGGGGCCTCCATTCCCATTTCTACTGGGCAGATTGTTTCTAAAAGTGTTGGCTGCGGTTGAGAGTTCTGTTGCTGCAAAGTAAACACTTGAAAATCTCCAATTTGGCTCAATCCAGGATCTGACATTTAAGGAAACTGATTCCTGAAGCAGAACCGCTGGCCTAGGGTCCCAGGGAGACTCAGAAACCCACCAACCAGGTCAGTCCTGTCCTCAGGGTATGCTGCCTCCCAGATGGTCCTAGCTGAATGAAGGGTCAATGCCAGTCCTCTGGGGGATGTCTGGTCCACCCTGGTGGTACTCGGATGGAGACTTGTCCCCAGGTCTTTTTTAGGCAGTGAATCGAGGGGCTCTGCAGAGCAGAGAGGGTGGCGTGGAGTGATGAAAATTTTCCAAGGATTCGGTACTCCTGGGGAAGGGAAGGGAATGAGCTGTGATGGGGCTTCTGTCCCCTCATGGATATCTCCTGTCCTGGATGAGACAGATGCCCAGGGAACCGGGGAGGGCACATCTGGGATCTGATGAGTAACACTCCCGGGGAGGAGGATTTTAGCTCAACCCAAGGAAGGAAGTGAGCTTCCCACCACCGAGACCAGGAGTCGGGGTCAGCAGGCCCTTGGCAGGAAGGGGCCTAGGAACTCTGCAGAGGCTCAGACCACAGACTTCCATCCTGAGAGCTGAGAAAGGAGAAGGGGCTGTCCCCATGACTCCAGAGAGGGGTTCTCTGGCCCCCCCATGACTTACCTTGGCCACCTGGACCCAGAGCTCCACCCCCTGGCCCTGTCCTGGGCCGTGGTGCTCAGATCCCTGAGGCAGGCGGTGACGACAGAGTGGGCCACGTTATGCAACTGGGTGACAGTGGCACGGACGGTGGGAACCAGGTGCTCACGGCCCCTGTTGGTCCGCTGGGACCAAATAACACCCAGGCGGTGGTGGGGCCCCACCTTCTTGAACAGCTCCTGGAGAGGATGGGGAGTGTCACTGACCCTGCCGCGCGGAGCTCAGAGTCTGCAGTCCCCACAGTCCCAGGCAGGAGTCACTGCTCAGCTGGAGCTCAGGAAGCTGAGGAGGTGGCCGGAGGCTGCGGGAGTCCCTGGGTTTAGTCTGTGTCCACCGAGGGTGCCAAGGACCCGGCAGTGGTGGGCAAGAGAAGTAACGTTTGCTCCTGGCCCCGTCTAGCTTCCTCCCAGCACAGGACACGGCTCACACCTGCCCATCACAAGCGGAACCTTCCTCCCATTCTGATCACCCTCTGGTCCAACTCCCCGTTCAGATGCACATTCCCCCAAGGCAGCAACAACCAGGGGCTCTGTTTGTTTGTCTTCCACATAGGCAAGTACACATTAGGTGTCTAATAAGTGCCGAGCCTGTTGAGGCCTCCTGGACAAACGGGTGAGCGACCCAAGGACCTAGCAGGAGTTCACTGAGCTCCCCTCGCCCATCAAAGGGTCAGGCTCTGCCCAACTTCCTCTCTGTTCCACCTCATTCATCTGCACAGCCACTGTGCCCAGCAGGTGCTCTCAGTGTCCACGTGGGGACAGCGAAGGCTTGGGGGTCAGAAGGTTGCCCAGGTCACAGGGTGGCTAAGTGGGGGAACTGTGACTTGGACCCAGATCATCAGATTCCGGATCAGGAAACAGCAGGTCTGGGGCCTCTGATGGCACAGGGAAGGCTGGCCCCACCCACGCTGAGAGCCCTGCTGCTCACCGCATCCATGAGTCTCAACTGCTATGCCAATAGCTTTAGCGGGAATTCCAAGAGGTTAGGCTTTCCTCCCTCAGCAGGTTCTTGGTGGTCACAGCCCAGGGACAGGTGGGCTTTGTTGTGATTTCTGTAGCCGGAGGTGGAATTTGTCCTCAAGTCAATGGTCCATCTGGCTCCAGCTCAGGAGCCGGCACTGGGGCTGAAGCTGCTGGTGCTCGCTCCGGCCCTGGAGGGGCTGATGGAGGTGAGGCTGATGGAGGTGACACTGGCTCCGGCTCTAGCACAGGTGGTGGAACTAGAGCTGGAGCTGGCCCTCGCTCTAGCTCTGGAGCCAGCAGGAGTTCTGGAACTGGTGCTGGAGCAGGATAAAGAGAAAGTTTCACCCACACACCTGACTTTACAAGACAGGAATGGCTCCACTGCCTTTAAGGGAACTCCAGCCCATGAACCCCACAGCAAACCCAGGCTGTAGTCCCTTCACCTTCCAGATCTGCCTCAGTGGGCTCTAGATGCTCCAACTAGACCTGGAGAAGGTAGGCACGGCCCCTCAGGTCCACGCCAGGCAAGGTGACATGCAGAGAGGCCAGCCTCATCCTGAAGCAGGGAAAGTGCAGGGGCTCCCAGAAATCCTGCCCTGGGTCCAGCCAGGTCCCCACCATGGAAGAGATGGCACTGGGAAAAGCAGTTAGGCTGCTGGGCCAGAGGCCCGACCTTTCCTTCCACACTGCTCTCCCAGGGCACTTTTGTTTGGGTCTGGGCCCTATGCCTGCCCCTTCCCATCCAGGGGAGAACCCCATCCCAGCGCTGACTCCTGTGTGGCCATCCTGGCAGTGGCAGGGCTGCTCATCCAGCAGCCTGAACAGAGTCTACGTGAGTCTCTTCTTCCCACTGACACTCTTCTCCCAAAGGCCCTGGACACAGCCCACCCAGCCCTCCATGCACCTGGGCAACTGGACTGAGGACTGAGGCAGAGTTGTGAGCAGCTTGCTCACGAGCCTCCTGTTCTGCGCCTGGTGGTGGTGGTCAGAAGGGAGGGATATGGACAAGGCGAGGCAGATTGAGATGGGACTGTGGTGGGGATGGGTTGCTAGGGGACAACTCAACCCAGCCTTCCTTCTGGTTCCCAGGGAGCCTGGAACCCCATCTACAGCTCTTTGACTCCCGTCCTCTTGGAGTAGAAGCCACCAGACCTCAGTCCTCTCATGGGAATCAAAAGATGAGTGAGATGCAGGATTCTCCCAGGCCTGCCCTAGCCACAGCCCCCATGTTCTCCCTCAACCCTGTTCAGTAGAGACAGGAGGCCCTCCTTCTGAACCAAAAGACCACTCAGTTTTCAGTTGGTCATGTGCTCCGTCATCCTGATCAGAATACGGGAAGATGCCTCCGTAGTAAAGGAGGCTATGAGGGCATCACCTGGGACATGCGGTGGACAGGACCTGAGAATGATGTGGAGTGTGACTGTCTGATTCAGACTCCAACTGAGGCCCAGGGACTGTGTCTGCGTCATTCACTGAGTTGTGTTGAGTGTCTCGAAAAGTCTTGCATGGAGTAGGTGCTTAAAATACTTTGTTAAATGAATGAACTCCAACCAGAACCATCCCAGGTATCCGAGTGGGCCTGGGGCCCCTCTGCTGCCCCAGAGATCCCTAATTGGCTACACCAAGGCCCAGGACCAGCTGGATGGAATCACAAATTCCTTGACAGAGTGCTTTCCATGTGCTTTTGCAAACTCAGAAAGGCCACATCCCTGTGATTGGTGAGCAGACTACTTTTCATGAGGGAGAGAGAAATAATAACCAGGAACAAGCACAGCACGTCCCCCAGCCCTCTGTAGAGCCGGGCACCAGGGAAGCACCTTCCCTGGCTGCTCCCATTAGTCCCTACGAGAACCCTCTGAAGTTGATCCTCTCCCACCCCACTTTTCAGAAGAGCAAAGTGAGGCTCAGAGAGGTGTGGTGACATGCCCAAGACACACAGCTGGCAGAGGGCAGAGTCACCACTGTGCTGAGGAGGGGCTCGCACTCGCCTAGTAACCAGCCGGTCCAGGACCTGGTGGGATGTGTTAAAGGCCGAGTAGTTGAACATGAAGGTGGTGATGTTGGAGATGTTTCTACCCAGGAAGGCTGGGACCATGGACTCTGTTAGTTTCTCCACCATGCCTGCATGGAGGGCGCGCACCCTGCAGGCCTCACTGAGATACGTGGCTGACTCAGCTTCACACTGAGTGAGAGGAGGAAGGACACACAGTCAGCGGCATCACCGTGAACCACCAGGGGGATGGAGGTCTGGAGCTCACCCAGGACCTCCTAGCCCCTCAGGGATGTGTGCAAGAGGAGGGACAGGAGTTCCCACACTGAACAAAGTTCTAGGCTCCCAAAGTACAATCTGAGTTTGGGAGGGGAAAGACTATACAGTGAGTTCCTCAACGCACTTTGCTAGCTCGGGAACAACAGACCTCCCTGTATTAAAGCCTGCACCAAGAGCACTAACCAGTGAGTCCTCAACAAACATCCCCATTATAGAGATGACAAAACAGAGGCTTAGGGATGCCAAGTGGCTGCCCAAGGTCATGGGGGTCAGAACTGAGAACCGCCCTAAGCGGGTGCTGCGTGACTTTCCCTCTAAACCACCCGAGGCTTCATCTGCTCCTGACATGGAGGGAGACGTCCTAGGGGAAGCTCACCCCTCCCCAGTTTGGAGACAGTGGCAGACACGCCCTCTGAGAACCCTGATGACTTCAATAAAAGACACTGATTTTTCTTTCTTTAAATGAAAGGGAGTTTTGAGACCCGCATTCTGGAGATTCCAGATTCAGAAAAAGGCAAAATTCAAAGATACGCACAGCGGAGTGTGAAGCGAAAACATGAATTTTTTCCTCTAATACTCCCAGGAGTATCAAAGAGTGACTTTCTGCCCTCCAACATAACTGGTGGGGAGGAGTGGAGTCCAGATTCCTTTGGGACTGGGACTGGGGGACACTCTAGTGGGAAGGTCCTGGGAGGGTCCTGGGGAAGTCTACAGATTTGAGTTTGGATTCTGGACCCACCCTGGTGATCTCAGGGTCCTGGGAGGGGAGACCCCTCTGCACTCACTCTCACCTTAGTCCAGCCCTGGTCCTTGTTGGTGGCCTGGTGCACCTTCCCCCGGTCCAGGAAGATGGAGTAGTTGGACTCATCTGCCAGCTCTTGGACCATCTCCTGTGTAGAGCTCTGCAAAGACAATGTCTGGTGGCCAGGCCAGGAGGTAGCAGGGGCCTGCCTGGACTTCACCACAGCGGGAAATGCTACCATACATCAGGCACAGAGGGGCATTTGCGTAGACCTCCAGCCGGGGAGACAACAAGATGATACTTCATGGGCTTGGGATTAACATATGGGTAGAAGAGCTTGGCCCCCAGCACACACCTTCCCATCCTGCCAGCCATGACCTGGGGTATGAACATGGCATACCGCCAGGCTTCTAACACCTAACAACCTGATTCCATCCAGGGTGGATCCCCCCTCATCCCTGCCTTCCATCACTCCATCTCCCCCAACACACAGACACAGTGAGGGTCAAGTGGTGTGGGGCTGCCCAGGTGGGATCACAGTTGTGGCCTGACCTGCAGTGGCCTGCCCTGGGTTGCCCTGTGTTACCTGAGGGTTCCTTCTGCCAAATAGCCAGAGGTGTTGGAGGTGAAGGCTGAGCCAATGGCTACGGCGACTGAAAAGACTCTCATTCTCAGCTTGCCAGAAGCCAGAGCCTTGGAAAGTTGGGATACATGAGAACATCCTGCTCTGTTGAGCGCCTCTGGTCAAATGAGCTGGATTGGAGGCTGTGTCTAGAATGTGGGTGCCTAGTGACCAGAGTTCTAAGTTTTGTTGGGGTCTTTCACCAAGAAAGTGAGGCCATGGTTCCACGGCTCCATTACCTGGGCGCCTTCCTTCCACTAGGCCCTCCCAAAGCCCCCTCTGGGCTCTTGACTGCTCACCCTCCTTGTCCATGTCATCTCTATTACTGTACATAAAGATCCATCACAGCCCTCCCCACAGCTCCTTTGGAATGGAACCAAGGTCCCAGCTTTGAGGAGACAGAAGTCAGTCCAGACCATTTTTTTCCCACCAATTCTGTGTCCTGGAAAAGCCACCGTGCCTCTCAGGGCCTCCCCGGTCTCCCAACCTGCACAATGGGGATGGTGCTAGAAACAGATTCCTAGGGACATCTTCGGGTGTATATGTGATAACACCTTCAACATCTGTGAGCTGGTGTCACATGTGTCTGATGTGCAAACTTAGAAATGGAAAAATTACACGAAGGGGTAGACGTAGCAGGGAGCCCCTCTCAAAACAGGCCTGGGTTCCAGCCATGTGATTTTGAGAAAGTCACTGCCCTTCTGGGACTCATTTTCAGGTCTGAAACGTTTAAGGGGTTAAAATTAGAAGAAATTCAGACATTGTCATCCACTGGCATTAAACCTTCCATGGTCTCCTGTTTTGCTTAGAATCAGCCCCAAGTGCCTCATTTCAGCCTGTGTCGTGGGAGCCTCCACAATGGCTCCCAAGCTCCCTGCCTCCTGGAGCGCACGTCCTCGTGTGACCACTAAGTGGTTACTAACTGGCTTCTGAACAAGAGAACACAGCCAAGGTGATGGGATGCCATGTCCAATTTTAATCACAAAAACTCTGTGACTTCCCTCTTACTGGCTTTCTTGGGTTCCCTCCTGTTCTTTCTTCCTCTGTTTCCATCTCTCTTTCTCTTTCTCTGTCATATTTCTGGAAATGTCAATGATTTCAGGTGCCCTACGTAGAAGCCCACGTAGGAGAGATCCGAGGGAGTGCCAGCCAACAGACAGATAGGAACTCACACTCAGTCCACATGAATCCTGACACCACCCACGTGAGTGAACTTGGGAGCAAACCCTCCCCCAGTTGCGCCTCAGTTGAGACTGCAGCCCCTGCTTCATGGAGACCTTGAGCCAGAGGCACCCAGCTAAGCCGTGCCCAATGCCTAGACCATCAAAATTGTGAGGTGTTAAATATTTGGACTTTATAGGTACAACGTTTTGGAGCGATGTTGTCAGAGAGGAACAGAAACTAACACAGTCTACCAGGTTCCATGATCTGGCCCTATTAACCTCTCATCTCTCCTCTTGTGTCTCCTCAGGCTGCCTCCAGCCACGTTGGCATGTTTCTGACTTCCTCTAGTCAAACTCACTTCTGCCTGTGAGTCTCTGCACCAGTGGCACCTTCTCCGTAACACACTGTTCCCAGACACAGGTGGGGGTGGCTTATACTTGTCATTCTGGTCACAGCTAATGGCCCTTCAGTGAGGCCTTTCAGAACCTCCTAGGCACAGTCTCTACCACCACAGATCTCACATCTGGAAGAGCGTTCAATTATTTCCTCCTTCTTCATCCTGTTTAAAGTGAGTCCATGAGGAAGCGCTGGCTGCTTTGGCTGAAGCAGATGCAACGCCTTCCGGTTGTACCAGGTGCACGACTGTCTCTTCCAGGCCGAGCTTCTCCCACCACAAGTCCATTGTGAAGGGAAGCCACCGTTCCCTCTCTTTCATGGTCTGGTTTCCCCAAGAACACAGCGAGCCGGTGCCGGTGTCTCTCCCTGTCCTGCAGCAGCAGACCCTAAACCCACAGCCGGAAAATGAGCACCCAGGTTGAAACACCCCCAGATCGTGAATTCAGTTACTGCTGAGACCTTCCCATCCATTTCATAATTCAGTGGTAACTCCTGAGGTCACCTTCCCCCCGAGACCCAACTCCCAGCCTGCCCTCAGCTGATTCGAGTAACGACAGCATTTCCTCAGACCCCTCCCAGCCTGGAGAAGAAATGTTTTGAAATGTTCTCTGTATTAATATTCAAGGACAGGGGATATTGATAAAAGTAATTTGGGTGCATATGTGCGGTAGCTTCTAGGAATAGTATTCAGCCATAACAAGGAAGGAACTTCTGATACGTGATACGACATGGATGAACCTTGAAAACATTATGCTCAGTGAAACAAACTCAACACACAAGGGCAAATATTGTATGATCTCCCTTACATGAGGTACCTAGAATAGGCAAAGTCTTGGAGACAGAAAGTAGAACAGAAGTTACCTGGGGCTGGGAGTGAGGGTTATGGGTGTGAGGGTTTGTCAGTGTTTAATGGGGACAGAGTTTCTGTTTGGGATGATGAAAAGTCTTGGAAATGAATCGTGGTGATGGTTGCACAACATTGTGAATGTATTTGATGCCACTGAATTATACACGTAAAAACGGTTAAAATGGCCAATTCTAAGTTATGCGTACTTTACCACAATACAGAGAAATGTAAAAATGCAGCAGTGAGGTCAGGAAGCAGCTTACGGGTCCTCGAGTCTGCATATGGGCCAGGTAGGTGGCCAGGGGCTGAGTCCTCGACCCTGGTGAGGGTCCAGACTGGTCCTGACAGACTCTAGTTTAGAGGTTAAAAATAATAGGATTGGAGCAATATCATGGATTGGGGGATAAGAAAGGAAAAACATCTGTAGTGGTTAAGTTTCTGTACTCTGCTTCGGCAGCCGGGGTTCATGGGTTGGAATCACAGGCACAGACCTACACACCACTCATCAAGCCATGCTGTGGCAGCGTCCCACATACAAAATAGAGGAAGACTGGCGCAGATGTTAGCTCAGGGCCAATATTCCTTACCAAAAAAAAAAAAGAAAGAAAAGCAAAACATTTTATGATAGGTAGTCTCTTGGCTACCTGTACGCAGTAGCTATTGAGAGTGAAATGTTGGCCCTCTACCTTGACAAACTAGAGTGAGGGACCCACAGAGGTAATGAACAACGACCTCTGAGACTCCAACTCTAAAGGGCTCCAAATGATTCTCCTTTCTTCAAGTGAGAAAGTAGGGACCTTCGACATTACCAAACAAAACAAAACAAAACAAAACAAAAAAAACTTAGCCATCTAAAATTAGGCAAGACTGCCACCTAGTGACCAAATGTGAACATTTCTCAAGAAATTTTGTCCAACTTAACTAGAATTATTAATTATTCATGAGTTTTCCTTTAACAAACATGAAGTGTTCCGATACCAGACACAATGCTACACACTGGAGATACTAAAATCAGAGAGGCAGAGTTATTGCCCTACAGGCGCACACAGAACAGTAGAAGAGAACAGACAACTAAGTGATTGAATGATCAAAATCACAGGGCAGTAAATGCTGTATGTAACCTACGCCCAAGGCGCCGATTCACCCTTAATTTTAAACGAATTAGAACCTGAGCGTGGGCACGGCAAACCCAAGTTCTTCTTTGGCTGTCACCAATTGGTTGTCATTTGGTCACCAACTGGTGACCAAAAAGAACAAAAAGAAGAAAGGAAACCAAACCAAAAGTAGTAACAGTGGCTTTTACATTTAACTGTCTCA